AACTCACTTTACGGTTCAATCCTGAACTAGCAAAGAGGATGGGTCTTGGCCATCTCTAAATTCTATTATTAGAGGCTGTTGTGTGCAGAAGAACTGCATAAACTTCACTGAAGCATGCAGATGAACTGGGAGCACTTAATGCTAAAGAGGAAGGTTTTGAAAGAGGAGAGGAGATGCTGCTGCAGTGTAAAGTTGAGAGGGAAAAAAATGCTTCAGCTGTAATGAAAAAAAATTCCCATGTAACCATGCCCTCAGTATTGGTTGCTGGAAAGAGAAAGTATGAATATTCTCTGTATTAACTAGCCAATCTGTCACAATGAAGGAAGCATTATCAATAGTTTCTCATCTGCTACGTAGCTACAGGGCATATTTTAGTTTGTTTCTACTGAGTGTAACCAGTGTCCTTCCACTGGTTCTTCCTCCAGTGTGATGGTGAAGGTTGTACCTTGTGCTCTCCATCTGGGAAGGCCTATCTTTTTATTAGAGAAGTGCCCCCTAGGATATTGAAAACAAATCCATTAGCAACTATGAGATATTGATATGAACAATGTTGACCCTCTGTAATTTATTGAATACATTTTGCAAAATACACTAATTTTTTTAAAAAACAAAATGGAACAGGTGCTCAAAATGTTTCAAAATAAACAGTTAGACTTTTCTGAGGATCAGAAAGGTGCTATTACTGAAGTGGGATTTTTTTTTCTAACACACTGAAGAGACTTTTCTTACTGGTCAGCTATGTCATAAATATATCCATACAAAAGGATATAACAGCTCTGATAAAAGTAGGTGCTTTACTATGAGGACACACCCATATCCTACGTTAGAATACTTACACTGCAATGTAGTTGTACCTATAAGGGTCCAAGGATACCTGAGAGACAAGGCGGGATAGGTAATAACTTTTATTGGACCAACTTCTATTTATGAGAAACCGCTTTTGAGACACTCAGCCCTGAAGAAGAGCTCAATGTGTCTCAAAAGCTGCTCCCTCTTCCAATACAAGTTGGTCCTCTCTCACCTTGCCTCACAAGCATTTGCATTGCACTGACAATTAGGTTTTTAAAAACAGGTATTTACCCACCTCTGCATTGGGCATTGATTCCCACTTAAATGTGGGATGCAGACATCTTAATAAGGTACCCACTTTTATATGGAGTGGCCTGAACCACTGTATCTGTCAGTTGATAAAAAGAATAGCTGGAATACCATGATGATGAAGACTGCATTGTCAGAACAATAAGATCACTTGCTCTTAGCTAGGAAAACAACCAGTTAGTTGATCTTGCACTATTAAATATGTGCAATTTTTAAACTTGCAGAAATGCTTAGTGATTAGTTTTTTAGTCTTTCTTCACAGCTGATTATGAACACATGACTAACAGATGTTTTATTGAACTCTTTAAAAGTAAACTACAAGTAAAGTGCAGCTCTTAAAAAGCAGGCAAGGAGTTATGCAACTTCAGGGGAACAAACAAAAGATGAGAGATAGTAAAGCAGGCTAAGTTTTTCTGAAAATGCTGTACCTTTTCTTGAGGAAGGGTTCTCTAGGGAATTTTATCAGCCTTTAACTTTTCAAGGGCAATTTCTGGAACAATCTGGTTTCTGTATTGTTGAGAACTGCCACTGTGCAAACAGTGACTGCTTGACTCTAGTATCCTTTGACAGTAAGTAGTACCAGATGCTTCATAGAACGTTGAAAGAAACCCCTTCATCTGCTTACCTACAGGCTGGAGCACAAGATCTCAAAAAAAAAAAAAAAAAAAAAAAAAAAAAGTGAGGCAATAACTAATATTAAACATAGGTCTGGAAACAGACATCCCCAGTTAGACATCCTCCCTTAGCGTTACATAAATTGTAAAACTCTTCAAAGCAGGGACTTAGTTATGTCTGTGCATGCAGTGTTGGGCCTGCTGGGGCTTGGCCCTCAAGGTACTACCACAGCACAAATTGATACCAGAAGGTTCTGAAGAATTTAGGAATCTTTTATACAATGTCTATCACAGTGGTCTCCAACGTAGTGCCCGCAGGCACCATGGCACCCGCCGGGCCATTTCTGTGCGCCCGAGTGATCAGGGCTGGCCCTGCCCCCGGGCACGTGGCTCATAGGCGGCACCGGCCCCAGGTGCGCAGCACATGATCAGTGCCGGCCCCGGGCGCATGGCGGTTATGTGGCCCCACTCCCGGGTGCGCGGTGTGAGGTCTGTGCTGGCCCCGGGCGTGCGGCGTATGGGCGGTGCCAGTCCAGGTGCGTGGCACAGGGGGGGCCCCGCCCCCAGGTGAGCGGCACGAGGGCTGTGCCGGCCCTGTGCTTGCAGCGTATGGGCAGCGCCGACGCGGGCGCGCAGCATAGGGGTGGCACCAACCCTGGGCGCGCAGCACATAGGTGGCCCTGCCACCAGGCGCGCGGCGCATGGGCGTTGCTGGCTCCTGGGTGCTTGACACAGGCGCTGGCTTCGGCTCCGGGCACGCAGCGCATGGGTAGTGGTGGCCCTGCCCCCGGGCGTATGGGCACTCCTGGGCGTGCAGCACAGTTTCGGCGCCAGCTCCAGGAGTGTGGCGCATTGGTGGCGCCAGCTCCAGGCATGCAGCGTATGGGTGGCCCCGCCCCTGGGTGCCTGGTGTGTGAGCGGCCCAGACCCTGGGCGCCCGGCAGCCCCAAAAGGTTGGGGACCACTGGTCTATCACAATGGGGGCCTGATTATGACTGTGGTGTGACTAGAATATAAGTAATACACAGACCACTAAATAAATTATTTCAGTTGTCATTTTCCCCCTTCCTTATATGAACTATATGGGATTCAGCATAAAAATATGTATTTTTAAAATACTCTGAACTGTCTGTATAGGTTAAATTACACTGGAAGCTGGCAAGAACCTTGGGTGTTGTGACTATTGACTAGGCCTTGGCAAATATTCATGTATTTTGTTACACTAGTTTCATTAGAGAAAACTAGGAGTTTAATCTATCATAGAATCTATGTTGCAATGTGTAGATTAGATAATCACTCAGAAGCTTGTACAGTATACTTAGCTAGAATGATGATGAATACTAAACCAGTTGGGGTTCTTACTGCACTGCTTGTGTGACTAGGCAGGGCTGAAGGTGGGATTTTTGTGTATGTCCTATCTCTTTTCAGTCTCAAGCTGCTGTGACAGACCTAGAAAGCCTGACAGGTCTGGGACCCCGGTCATTTGCGGTGGGAGGGAGGGAGCAAAGGACCAGGTCTATTCCCCACCCCCATTTCTTAAAAGCTGGCTGGAGTGAGTGTGCCATTGGGGGGCCCTGCTCTGTGTCTATGTCCTACTAGCAGCAGGACGCGCCCCTGCCCCCCAAGGTCCAGGCAGGTCTGCCCGGAAGGGAAGGTGGGCGAGAGGGGTCGGTTGCGGAAGCGGGAGCTCGCAGGGGGGGGTCGGCTCGCGGGCTCAGATCCCTGCGGGGAGGCTCGTTTGCGGGATCTGGGGGTCGAGGCAGAGGCGGGGGGAGGGGTCCGGACGGTGCGTGTTCGCTCGACAGCCGGGGAGGGGTCGCGCTGTCTCGCAGGAGGTTCGTGGGGGGGGGGCGCCGCCTCGCGCTGT